GCTCTGTGGCTGGGCTCTGTGTCCAGGCCTTGTCCTCCTCTTGTCCTTTGTGGCTGGGTCTTGTCCTCCTCTTGTCCTCTTCTTCTCCTCCTCTTGTCCTTGTTTTGGCCGCGCCCCTGAACTCTGTGGCTGGGCTCTGTGGCCCGGCTCTGTGTCCAGGTCTTGTCCTCCTCTTGTCCTTGCCTTGGCCGCGCCCCTGAACTCTGTGGCTGGTCTCTGTGGCCCGGCTTACTGGAGAGGAGTGTGGCCGAACAGATAGCGATGTCAATGCCGACAAAAATTCATTGATGAAGCAGTTTGCTCTTGGGGTGAAGGTAGGGCGTGCCAAGAAATCGTTTTTTGACTAATAGTGGTCTGCACGAATCGTTTTGAAGCTGTTTGGGGTCTATGCTGGTATAACTTTAGACTAAGCAAATCTAACCTACTGTAAAGTGACTAGCTTTGCGCACCTATTTTTGAAGAGAGGGTGTGAAGACACAAGAACATGTTGAGAAGGTTGGTGCTGCTGATTTTTTGAGAAGCACACATTCTTGATTTTGTCAACAAAATTCAGGTTGTTTGATTCTATAGAGGTTTTAGGCTTGAAGAGGTTGTGCAGTTGATTCTAGAACATATTTTTTGTTTTTGTTTTGCAGTCCTTCACTCCAAGTCCCAGAAGACGACCAATTTAGATCAATTTAAAAAGAATACCAAAGTTCAACCACCATCATGCCAGTCTCAATACAAAGCAACGCATTCTTGTACATAACTAGCCACCCCATGGGGCCTACCAGTGGCCCAACCCTTCCCAAGACCTTGTGTCCCCAACTTTAGAGATGTATTTTTGGACAGGTCCCTCAAAGAATTGGAGGATTGGGGTACACAAGTAGTGTCTCGGAAAAGACCCAGCCTCAGCTACCAATGCCACCACCCCTTTCCCTGTGTACCACCCAGCCACCCTTTTCACCCCCCCCAATGAATTGGAATGAATAGCATCACCAAGGTGTGCTCCTATCTGGAGCAACCCAGCCCCAAACCTGGCCACCTACAACCCAACCACTCCACCAGTGACTCCACCAGAGGCCCAACCCTTCTCAAGACCTTGTGTCCCCAATTTTAGAGAGGTATTTTTGGACAGGTCCACCAATCAAACCTCGCCTCTTTCAGGCGGAGACATAAACAATGTAGCCCTCAAAGAATTGGACGCTTGGGGTGCACACTGAATTGATTGCAAAACAAAAACAACCAGCCCAGCCCCAGCAGCAGATGCCAGCACCTTTCCCTGTGTACACCCAGCACCCCTTCCAGCCCACCATTGGCTGCCCAAGATTTGAGCACCCCCCCTGTCTAGAATTGGAATGCGTAGCCTCACCAAAGTCGTCCTCCTATCTGAAGCCCCTTTGGGATCAGCCACCCTTCGAGGGCCTGAGGAATGACAAGACCCCTGTAGCTACTGTAGAATCAGGGGGTCTCTCATCCCATAGTTGTCAATATTTTGTTGTGGCTAGCATCCTCAGGCCACTTGATTTTATAGAAATCACATATATATATATATATATATTGACTATTTTTTTTTGGACATGTTTGTTTGATCTTGTGAGCTCGATTCTACACTACGCTCATTTTCCATGTGCTCTTGATTCTTTACCACATGTTCTTTCCTGGTGTGAGCGACATGCGGGTTATGGTGAGCTACCGTTCCTTTGAATCGTTTGCCGTTCTTTAGCTGTCGAGAATTTGGATTCAAGCCAGGCCCCGCCAACGGTGAAGCAGCGGCTCCAAGAGATTCCACAGGATCTTGGCCTGCAGAATCTTCAACTTCTTTTCAAGAAGGACTGGCAAACCAGGGATCATCACACATTATCGTTCCCTCAAGAACGAACAACGTATATACAGCAGGTTTGCTCTTCAAGTTCCCGTTCAAGATCTCAAATAATTGGAGTGAAATGGCTAGGCTAGGCTTGTGAAACAAGTTGCAACATCTCCGGCTTCCAGGACATGTTGAACCGATATCAAGCGAAAGAGGAGGCCTGCAACTTCTTGCTGAAGTGCGAGAAGTTCTTTGCCGACTACGTCGGTATGAAGTATGCACTGGCTTTGAACAGCGGTGGGATTGCCATCAGCCTTGGCCTAGAAGGTATCAAGCGGGTGATCTTTCCGGAGGATGACGTGGATCAGATCCGTGTTTACTCGAACGCCTTTACGTTCAATGCAGTACCTGCAGCTTGTGTGGTCGCTGGCTTTCGCAACACTCTGAAGCTCATTGAGGCGACACCCGAGCTGACCATTGATCTAGATCACTGGGAGGCGTGCATCAAGGAGGACTTCATGCATTTCACTGCTCTTGAGCCTTTCAACCAATTGCGAGAGATATGACCCCCACTTGGAACTTGTTCATAGTGATTTGCAGGACTTGGAGTCCAAGAGATTTGCACCAGGGAAGATGATCCTCGTGCTCTCCTATATGCGCGGACGCGTGCCAGACATGCACAAGGTGATGGACATCTGCAAGAAGTACGAGGTCAGAACCCTGTCAGTAGTCCACGATGGTCCCGAGCCTCTTATGGGGTTCGGCTCTGAAAGAAATGCAACGATTTTCTCTAGGGCTGCACACAGTGGCAAGTTAGGACTGGGATGTGGAGTGTGGATACCACACTGGGTAGGTGCAGGTTTCCTCTTGTGAGTCCACGCCCAGAGAGTTGAGGTGCAACTCTTGGAAGACTCCGCACACGGCTATGGCTGCTCCTTCGATGGCCAGAAGTGTGGCTCGTTTGGTGTGGTTTCAACAATCTCTACGCAGGCGAACAAGCTGGTGAACACCGGTGAGGGTGGTATGATTCTTACCAGCAACTTGGATGGCGAACCAGCAACTTGAGGTTCTTGGGTGACTCAGATAGGGCTTAATCGACCTGCAGATCTCAGAAAGGTTGGCAAAGATTCTTATGGCTCATCGAGTCCAGCTCAGTCTCTCGCGTTTTCCGGAATACGCTCAGGCAACGATGCCATGCAAGCCTTCTTCATTTTCTCCGCAGGCAGCTATGAAGAGCTGTGGAAGAAGCACGAATCTATGACGCCACCTGAAGAGGTAGCCCTGAAGTTCAAGTACACGACCGTGAACAAATCGGTGCGGATGACCAATATCCAAGGCTGAGAGTCGAGAGTTGCCAAAATGGTTGTACTTTTGACGGCCTCATGTGCATTATGAATAGGGAACCCACCGAACCTAGAATGACATGGTCTAAGCGGGACCAGATACTTGGTGTGTTCCGGTGTGTTCGACTGGCTTCAGGTGCTATCATGTTTCCGCAGCTGAGCGTCATGGATGAGCGCATCGATCAGCACAACGCGATGTATAGTGTTTTGATGTCAACAACAATTGAGAAGCTTGAGGCCCTGAAACCTGGAAGCAGCAGACGGGTTTACTTCATCCCGCAGGCCCCGCCGAGGGTATTCTTTCGTAAGCAGCGTGGGGACTCCTGTGCAGGACTGCAAAAGGACTCGACTCCGGTGGCCTTTCCAGCTGAGTCGAACGACTCGTTGGATTCATTGAATGATCCTTTCATGTGATTCATAGTAGCGAACATTGTTCCTAGTAGTAAGGCCAGGAGCCCCTAGTAGCGTCCTTGCTCCTAGTAGCGATGCCAGGAGCCCCTAGTAGCTTCTTGTTCCTAAGAATCATGAGTTGTCCTTTTTGCCAGGTACACGAGCTCGTTGGTCCGGTCTTCGACTCCATGCAGATGCAAATTCGCGACAGCAATGGGGAAGTAGCTGCAGAGGAGCATCCGGGCCTGAACGGCTTTTTAAAAGAGATGCAAGGTGGGGGTACTTGGACCACTGGCATATTTTTCGTTTGATTTTTAACCTGTCATTGTTCCTACGACTTTTCCACAAGTTGGCCAGGTCGCAAGCATGGCATCGCGAAATTCTCCGACCCAGCAAATGCTCGGAATTTCTTGTCCTGGCAATATTTGAAGCCAGAAGATGTGTTAGCTGACGCGCTCCCCAAAACCACCAAGAACCTCCTGAACGTTTGTGATCTTCGACTACTTTGTCATGACACGGAGGCGCACGGAGAGGATTTCAGATCACTTCCTCTTGCGCACGTGAGGATATGAAAGGATTCCTTTCAGTACTAGTCACTAGTCGTAGTACCACAGGTTCTGAAAACACTTTTACATGCACAAAGAGTATTTGTTGATTCAACAATTGAGCAAGCTATATACTGTAATTACGATTCTCTAAATTGTAAATGTGTCCTGCATGACAATGACTATACTGATAGGTACGGCAAAGCTTCGCAGATCAGATGTCTTCTAGACTCGGTGTTCTAACCTGTGTCTCCCGTTTCACAGGGGTCAGCAGATATCTACTTCTACTGACAGATCCCAGGCCACGCTTGACAGCCTCATTTGAATGTATGTGTCTTGACGATCTTGACGTAGCTTTCGAAGCCATTTTGCCGCAGAAAGTCTGGCTTAGAAGAAATGCCTCCTCGTGGCGTCATCCTACCGAAGTGGGTGGCAACTGAATTTGCGCATTTTTGTTGCAGATATTTGATATCTGGCTATCATGACACACTCATCCTGACAAACCTGGGTGCTTTGACCTGGGAAGCTTGCCTGCCCTTGGCCTTCCTGTACTCAGACCAAGACACTAGCAAGAGGGCAGGGCTTGTGTTTCTGTCCGCAGTGGGAAACTTCTATGCAGCCGCCACGACACGCTTCAACGACTCTGGCTTTACAAGCGGGCTCAGCTTCCTACTGCCACCCTTTTTTTGCTATAACTTCCTCTTAATCTATGTGCTGGGCCCTCCGACCATGATTCTTGGAGGCGTCATCTGTGGCCGAGCCATTGTTCTCACACAAGGTCTTGGACCGGCGGTCATTGGGGGGACAGGATTGGTGGTGGTTGGATGGTTCTTCCGTGATGTCCACGAGTGGATGCCCTTCCTTGGATGGATGGGAGGAGCTGGCAGTTCTGAGGGCTTTGACTCCTCCTTCTTGCGGGCAGGACTCTATCCTGCTACCTTCGCCGCATCTCAGATGATATTGGAACACATGAACACATTCACTGAAGTGGGCTTGAAACAACGAGCTGTCCATGTTCTGTCATTCTTGGTGAAAAAATGGTCACTGTCCAAAGCCAACCTGGCGTTTATATCTTGATTATCAAACGAGTGAAACAATTGATATGTCAACCTTTGCACTTCGGGCATTCGCAGCATTGGTCCGGCAGACTGTGACTCCGCACCCGGTGAGGTGGCCTTTGTTTTGGCTGAGTTGACTGCGAGCCTTTTCAGTCATTGGCTCCTTCAGAGCTGTGGCATTGCTTGCGTCATCATGGTGTTCGCTTACCAGGCGAAGGTCCGCTTGGTTTGCTTCCCCTAGCTGACTGGCAGTTTGCGGATGGAATCGGTACAGTGCGATTCCGCCAGAGTGAGAGCATGTCACTACTTAGACTTAGAGTCTGATGTACAGCAGGATCTCTGTCTCTGTGGAGAAAATATGATGGCACGGGAGGCAGCCTAAGCTTCGCACCAGGTGCACAGGGTATCGTCAAACAAACATCCAAAATTTCCAGCCCTAAACCCTAACCTCCTTGAAAGTGGGAAGTGACGAGTGGTGTGGCTCACCTGGCTTGAAAGGTTGAGATCTCGAAGCTGGCCAATGACCTGGCCGAGTGCATTGTCACACACTTCTGAGGCAAAACGTAGAGCGAACGTCGGCTTTGTGAGCGCTGGATCACCGCTTGACTCATGTGCGCACACAGCATAGAGGAATTAACCTAGAACGTATTTCCGAACGTTCTTTTTTTTACATGTACAAATTATATTGTCAGTTTCTCTTAATAATAGAGAGGATATGGACGGGAATATTCACAGTACCCTTTGACTATCCTGGAAAGCAGGTGCCAACAACTGTCGTGCCAACCACTGCCCACGTTAAGTTCCCTCACAAGTCTCCCACAAGAACCAAGCCATCACCACCGTTGTGCTCGCTGAGAAACAATAGAATCCTAAAAAGTGCGTCAACAAACTTGGTGAGTTTCTATATAGACTTCATGCGACTCTCTTCTTTGTTTGCAGCCTGGTCCAGTGATTTTGGCTTGCAATTTGAATGGTGAATGGGATGCCAGCAGTGATCCACAGCGTCCACACAATACCATTTACCCGGCAGTGTTCTCAATTTCATTAGCATAGCAGAAAGCACTGGCACGACTGTGAGACATTGGCTGATGGGCGCAGGGACTGGAAAGTTTATTGCCAGCAATCTGAGCCCCCGATGAGGGCCGGCTTAGCCATGTTCTGTACCAAGATGTGAATGTGGATCAAGACGGTCAAGAGGAATTCCTGCGTTGGGTCGTTTGGCATCGAAAGCTATTCTCAACTCCAAACGTCCAAGATTGCTGGCGCCCTCGCGCCGAGGCCAAGCAATACAACATCCTGTAACACCTGTGCTTCATGGGACTGCGCTTGGCAAACTGTCAGGCATATGATTTTGGACATTCTCGTCTCACTCTCTTGACGTCTTGAGGTTCCGCGAGCAAGGCGATTTCTTGTGTGGGTGAAAAAGCTGACCGAAGGGCGTCCTTCGGCAGATGGACGCTAATGGAATAGAGTGCCCGTCACAGAGGATGAACTATGAACTAATTGTTCTTTGCATTTGCTTGTCATGTATGTGCCTCTCAAGTTTGGTTTACTCGTAGACGACCTACTTGGTAGGGTAGAAGTGCATAGGACAGGTCGAGTCTGATTAGCGGCATTTGTGCCGTGTCTCTATGGCCATGCCGCATCCAGATGCCAACACCAAAGATGACGCTGCGAAACGAACAGCGTCTGGGCGTGAGAAAGCGAGGTTTGCGAGCTGCCAGATAGAGGTAGCAGCTGCCTCCGTGTGGGACCGTCGTGTGTTCCCTGGGACCGTCTTTTTTTTGAGTCCCTGGGAGCGTTGAAATAGGAGGGTCGTTTCTTCAGCGCCTGACTGTCAGAGTTCAGTTCCGGTCTTCAGTCATCTTCAGTCAATACTTTGGATCGATACCAACATGGACTTCCAAGACGAACCAAGAACAACAGAACCTAGCAGTTTCTGTTCCCCTGCTGCACTTAGGAAAGTGGAATCACCGTCACCGTGCACGGTGAAGATACCAAGAACCTGGAAAGGAGCTTGGACCAACTGTCTCATCATCCCAACGCACCGGGTCTTATGCGTCTGGTTTCGTCGCTTGGCGGTTTCGTGGCCTCGGTTGCCTCACCGTTTTTTTGCCGTTTCTGTAGACCATGTTAGCATTCTTGCCGTTTTTCTGTAGACCTTCGATCAACCGAGCAGCTCAGGCCATTGTCTTTGATGGAGCCGGTAGGTGCCAACATCCAAAATGACCATGATCATGGTCCGGAGAAGAGAAGCTTTCCCGCTGCCGTGGCTTCTGCGGTGATCAACCACATGCTGATGCAACACAGATGCACAGAAGATTTCTCGCACTCAACAGCATTTCCAAGCCTCCGGCAAGCCGGTTCATCACCCTACCAACTAGAGACGTACCGACTAGGGGTATTGTTGGATGGCTTTTGACTTTCATTCAGCGATAGTGCGACCAACAAAGCCAGACAGGGGATGACCAATTGAATCATGCATGCTTGTGAATCAGACTAGGAATATGTGCAACGAGACTTTGCACTCTGTGTGGTGCACCCCTTTCTCGGTTTTTCGCTGAATCACAAAGTACCCACCAGGGACTCGAAACCAAAACGAGAGAAACGACGTCTCGATGAGGTTTGGTATGTGTTGCGCCTATGGGATGATCATCTTCAGTGAAGAAAAGCATTCCGACCACCGTGCGCTTGGAGTGAAGACACTTGGTGAGACAAGTTGTTTTGCGCTCAGATTTGCTTTCTTGAGGGTCTAGGTAAGCTGTAGTCTGTCAAGGCTTTTTGTGGCTCAAGGCTCAAGGATGCTTTTTCATGCTATCGCATTTTGGTAAAAAAAACGGTGAAGTCCAAATGTTTGAGAGGTCCTTTGGAAGCATTCACGCTTGCATCTTCAGCCGAGGATGTGTTTGGTGTCCCTTCCTCAGCGAGGGGGCAGTCATTGTTTTTTTTCGCAAGTGATGGAGCATTGCAATGCTTGTTCTTCGGGTCTTGGAAGCTGCGCATTTCCCTTCTGTTTGCAGTTGCGGGAGCGTTTTGGATTTCGTCAGTTCGGCCTATTTCCTGGTTGTCAGAGTCATCATGAGTGGTCCATTCTCGTTAACTTGTGCCCTCCACAGCCAGGCTTACTCATGTCTAAGTGTTCCACAAATTTCTCTTTCTGGTCATGAAGAAGTCATGAGAATCCAAGAAAAGGCTTCTTACAAGACTTCCTCATTTCCCATGTAAGTTCACATGTGTCTTAGCAAACCACACCTCACGTGAATTCACCTACTAGCACACTCTCCTGGCCGTGTCTTGCGAGGGCGGCCTTCGTGGCCGGCGGCTTGATGTCGATTTGCTCGGGGATCCCGGTGGCCATCGGCGGCACCGACCTGAACCCGGCGGTCTTCTACGGAGACTTCGTGATTGCCATCGCTACGGTGCGATGAGAGTGGAGAGAGAACGACAATTGGAGAAGAAGAGAGGAAAAGAATGGAAAAGAGGAACAGGGAGAGGCATTATATAGCTACTAGTAGCTTCTTGTTACTAGCAGTAATGCCCTTATTACTAGTAGCGATGCACTTGTTACGTTCGTAGCTTCTTGTTAAAGTTCTCAGCAAAATCAACCATTGGGCCTTGGGCCAAATAGAAAGTCAAACCACCACACCAACTACTTCCCGCAGAAAGGGTACGAAAACTTCTTGCAAGATCTCGAATGCACATTTCTTGTGATCCTTTGAATCCGAACAGGAACTCTCTAAGCAGCTTCAACTGGATGAAGCTTGGCTGCACACGCCAGCCAGCATGAGCTCACTGCTTGTCGACGTCCGATTATATGCAACTCCCAAGTGGCTCAAGTGCCAGTATGTGCGAGTATGTTTTCTGTCCACTTTGACTTTTGCCATGCGTCGCTGTGTAGTTTCATTCTTCCACAAGGTCTTACTGGAAGTAGACTTCCAATTCTTAGTACAGTAACAGCGATATCATACAAATTTGCATACATGTTTCAAATAGGCATTCCACGCAAAAGGTTCTAGTGATTCTAGTGATCAAAAGTCGGAAGATGTGTAGCGCTGCCAAGGGCTATGATTACGCAGACTGGGAAGGATCGTCTGGCAGAAGGTTGGCCAAGGTGGACAAGACCAAGTATTTCTGCAAAGGCGAGTAGAGAATACTGATGTTCTTCAAGTTAGGGGTGAAAGTTTGACCAAACAACCATAGGGGATTTCCTGTCTATACACAGGATCGGCGCAACGCTTCAAGCATGGAACATGTTCTTATTGATGTGTATGCTTGAAAATTAGAGTGTCCAACAACTTGCAACCTTTGTTTGCAATTATATCATGGCAAAGAAGGATCTGGGCGACCCAAGTATTTCTTTTTAATCGGTAGGTTGGAGGCCATCGCTATTAGGTTGGAGGCCATGGCTAGTAGGTTGGAGGCCATCGCTGTTAGAGTGGAGGCCATCGCTATTAGGTCGACCCAAGTCTTTTTATTCAATCTTTTGGCCAAACATGGCAGTTGCTTCACACATCTGAACCGTCACACCTGAACAGACGCCAAAGCACCAGACCACGTCGTGCTGCGAGAAGTTCTACATTGCTACACACAAAGGCAACCAAATAAAGGTGCAGGCTTTGCAGGCTCTGCATGGCTCTGCAGGCTGCAGCACGTAGCTTTACAAAAGTAAGGACCGTGCCTTGCCCTTGCAACTTTCACGGCACGGTAACTGAGTTATACATAGTTATACTGAGTTTCTGTGGGTTTTTGATTCCGAACACCACAAAAGTAAGACACACATAGAAAAAGACATGCCAAGAAATCTTTTTTGCGCCATCCAAAAGGACCGCTGAAAACGACCGGTCGAACCACCCGACCCACCGGACGACTCGCGGGACGACTCGCGGGACGAGGCGGCCACTTGGCCCAGTTTGCCAATGAGTGCAACTCAGCGAAGATCAGCTTCTCCAGTCAGCGAGACTGAGAATGACTATAGATACAATAGAATGACTATAGACTTGTAGTACTTTTGTCCTTCTCTTCTCTTGATAAAGAACAACACCTTCTCTTGATAAACAACCACCTTCTCTGATTTGGATTGAACATCATTGAAGCACCTTTCCATATGTTCTTTTTTGTTCATCAAGAGTTGACATTATAGATGGACAGCTGGAGACTTTGGTTTTTGGGCCAAGAAGAGCACTTACTTCGAGAAAGGGTGTTTCCCCCGGTGTCCACGCTCTCAGTTGTCGCGCGACTTTGGGCTTCCCTCTCGCATGAACTTTTTATGCAAATCCAGTTCTTGCCGTGGATCATGCAGTCAGTATAAATAAAAGTAACACTTTTCGACTGGCTAAAGCTTCGACCAAGTGACCAAGGTGCGACTTACCATGAGGAGCTGCGTGCCACAACCATTTTCGCCGTTGCATTTTCGACGTTGCTTCTGGGCACCATGGCTGAAAGAGACCAGAAACTGTCGGAGACCTTGTTTTCGCTTCTAGATTCTTCTAGTGTATGCCATTTTGAGTAGCACCTGACAAGGGCCCATGAGTAAAAACTGGGAGGTTTGAGTCACCAGTGTTTGATCACCTTGAGCAGTTCGCTGCGCTTGTGTTCGTGCTGTTCATGCGAACTGCCAGCCATCCTTTGGACGGTGTTGGGGAAGCTCAAGCTCACCCGCTACGTGAGTTATATGCCCTACAGCATCTCCGAGGCGGGCCGTTTGATGACTGTGCTCATCCATGATTAGCATGAAGATTGGCTCAGATCGAGGGAAAGAAGAGGTGGCCCCTTTCCCTACACAGCACCCTAGCTTTCCAGACCCTACTAGTAGCAATCGGAGGGAGACCCAAGAAATATGTGGCAGAAGTTTATCGTTTGCGGTTCTCCTTTTGCTCTCGATTGGCTGCAAGTGGCCTCCTTTTCGTTGACAATCAACTGGAATACACGAATCATGAATCCCTTGTCGAGGCGTTCCTGGCTTGCGTTGGCTACAAGGCATCTGAGTTGCGCTTAAACTGGTTGAATGCACGCCACTGTCTGATGAAGGTCATGAATCCAGTGTTAGATACCTTTGAAATCGTTTGAACAGGGACAATTGAGGACACCTGATTGAACATTATGACATAATGACATTGTTGGGAATTTCAGCGTAACCACGTTCACCTCAAGCCCTCTAGTCAATCAGCACAAGCCTCATGGCAAGAGTTGTGCCTGAAGACATTCCAATTGATATGAGCTACCCTCTCACCATCATTGTTTGGCAGTCGATGCTTGGCAAAGATTCAGGTCTTTTACTATGCCCTGAAGTTTTGTGACATGCAACCTCAGCAGTTCATGCCAGCTGCTTTGATTGGCATCGCCCTATACTTTGTCAAGGCGTGCTTGAGATAGGGTGTTGGCACTCTGGGATCGTGTTGGGCGAGTTTGCTTCCACCTGCAAAGTCCGAGTAGGTAAAAATCAAGAGGTCCAGATTTAGGTGTTTTCTGCTCCTTATTCCCATCCGTGAAGATGGACCTGCAGGCGTTGCATCTCGGCAATCCCACCATCATGATGCCTTTGGGCCTACTTGTGCCTCTGGGGGTGTTCTGGGGGAACTTCGGTCGCACTCCGCTCTTTGAATTGCGGGATTGAATGCTTGATTTAGTTGAGAGCTGTGTATTTTGACTCTTGACTCTTCTTTGCTTTCCATCATCTTCCAGCCAGGTTGTTCAGGCTTGATTGATTATTGAATCAAACTCCGGAAATAGATCAAGATTGCAATCGTGTTGCTGCGAAGCAAGGATTGTGTTTGGTATGGGAGACACTCCCACCACGATGCGCGATCAAGGCCAGGATTTTTGGAGTGCATTGACCATTTCGTGCATTAAACATTGTTGGCATTGAGTTCTGCAGTGGTTCAGGGTGGCTTTTCCCCATCGTCGGCAACGAGCCCTTCTGGTGGGTGTGGACAGACAGCCTGGGGAAGCTTGTTTCGGTTTGCAGCTGCCAGTTCAGTTTTGAAGTAGTTTGCTTGATTGATGCAAGTATTGCATAGTATTGCAACGTTTGCCGCGAATGGCCTATTTTTTTGAGCCCCCTGCATTTGGCGTTGCACTTTTTGTACCGCAACACACTTTCGTCACCTCTTACGACATTGTCCAATACCAGAGGTGGACGTGACGAAAGCAAGCAACCCCGGTTGAAGCCTTCGGACGGGCAGGGGATGACCGACACGTGTCTAAGGAAATACGGAAGCATCAACTTCAGTGCATGGGTGACAACCCTGCCCAATCTGGTCGTGATGATCATTGTCTCCACCATGGAGACTCGGCGCAGGCTTAGTGTCCCACCTTGGATCCTGTTTGCACTTTAGACTTTGCAGCTGGTTCGGACTTGAGAACTCTCCCCAACCCTGGCACTGCCATCCTGGAACGATGGAACCCTGGGCGCTGTCACCGTGAGGTGCTGGCGTGAGGGGCTGTGTTCAGAATGGCGCCTTCAATCGTCGTCAGGTGCATGTGTCGGGCGGTTCTGCAACCGCAACGGCTACTGCACTTGTAGTGCGCCTTCTGTCTCCGCTACCTAGTTGCGCGAACCTCACAGCAAGGTTTCTGCACTGGCACCAGTTTTTGCACTTGTGGCGTGCCTGTTGCCTTTGTTGCAGAGCTTCCTTTCTGCACGGTGCCAACGTTGGACGCGCCGCAATGTCACAGGCAGTTGCGTGTACTTAGCACTACGACTCATTCCTTCTACCCAGGAATACTTGGCTAGCTGGTGCTCATTGAAGGAACGAAGGAGCCAGGGGCATCCATATATATGCAACACTGGGAGCCGAGATGCGGGAGCACGCTTTTGTGAACGGCACGCAACACGCCTGCCAGTGCCGGGAGCCATGGTTTTGCAGTTCTGATGCGCTTTCCTTCTCTGGCCCCCCAGGTCTGGACCCCAGTTTCTGCTCCCTTTGCATTTAGCAACTGGGTACGGTTTCAGAGCTTTTAGCAACACACAGTTGGAATGTCAAGAAATCCCAGTCAGTTTGGTAGCTACCTGCTGTTGGGTTGCTCCCTGCTGGGTTGATTATTCTTGCCTGGTTTGTGGCGTTTATGGCTTTGGTTTCTAGTTGGCCTTCTTTTTCGTGGCTTCCGCGGTGCGAGGTTGTTTGGTTTCCTTTTGGTGCTTCTGCTTCTCATGGATTGATGGTTTCTGTTGGCTTTTGGTAGCTTCTTGCAGCTTTCTTTGGCTGCTGGTTTTTGCTAGCCTCTGTTGGCTTGTTGGCTACAAACAAACCAAGACTTGTTTTGTCCTTTTCCATCGATGTTCTTTTTTGTGCATCAGAGTCACGATTCACAAGTAGTTATCACTGGTATTCACTGGTAACTTATATATATTGTGAAATGAATCATGATGAACCAGGTCATTCCAGTTAGCATGCAGTTGGCCTCTCATTCCAACCCGCAGGTTCCGGTTCGCAAGGGCACGACACGACGCCCTTGGCTCAAGCCATGACGGAAAAGGCGCTCGCAGCCTTTTGCACGTTTGTTTTGAGTTGGGTGCACATTCATTTTCAGATTGGCACCGGAGCTGTGTTCTCCTTAGGGACCTCATTCGGCAATCCCTTGGTTTGTTCGTTTTGGGGGCACCTTCACGCTTCTGCGCCGGAGCTCATGTCGGCGCTTGAGTGCCTTAAGTGGCACCGGTTTTCCGAGGCATCGGAAGCCACCCTGGTTGCTGGCACCGAGGGCAAAGGTGTTCCACGCTATGATGGGAGCCCTTCGACCCTCCAAGAGTATGCCTTCCGGGTGCGACTACGAGCTGCACGGGATCAGGCCATGGATCCCAATGAACTGAAGAAGCACGGACCCTTGGGGCTACGCCTGATCGATGGGCTCACTGGAGCTGCATTGCAGGTTGTGCGGGAGGTCGAAGTCTCCAAGTTGGCTGAAAAGGATGGTCATGAGCTGTTGCTTCGCCACCTATATCAGGCCTTCAGACCTCGCCGACAGCAGGAAGCACGAGAGCTCTATGCAGCTGGAGCTCAAACCCATGGAGTCCTTAGCCGACAGAGCGGTGAACCGATGACCTCGTTCCTCTTGCGTCGACGAACCTGGTACAAGATGCTCTGCGATTTAGATGACAAGTTGGCCCTGCCGGAAGCGATCTTGTCGGAACAGGTTTTGATGTCAAGTGGCATTTCAAGTGACCACCAGCTCCTGATCCGCACGGCATTGGCCGGGAAGATGACGGTGAACGATGTCTGCAATGAACTCATTGCTCAACATCCCAACATCCATGAAAAGGAGCTTCGACATCGACAAGATCGACATGATCACAGGTTCAGCCGCAGCGGAAAAGGAAAGTCCAAATCCTTTCACACCTGGTCACCACCGAGCTATCAGGATGTGGCTGCATTGGCTGAAGACCAATGGGAAGATGCTTCGCAGTCCCCTGGAGGCTATGAGGACTATGATGACCCTGCCTCCTACTACACAGGAGCGTCCGAAGAAGTTGATCCCGGCTATGAGCCACCATCCAATGAGGTGGACTATGCAATGGAGTCCTATGCCGCTTTGGTTGAAGAAGGCTTGGACGTGAACAACAGTGAAGCCGTGGACTACGCCTGTGAGGTGATTCAGCTTGAGGCCGAGGCCATGTTCTTGCACAACAAGCCCAGAGTCAAGGCCACAGTGGATTTGGTGGAAAGAGCGCTGCCAACTACTGGTACCAGAACAAGGGGAAAGGAAAAGGTTCATCTGGCACCCCTGACCGACGACGCGCTCTTGAAGATCTCAAGAAGAGAACCACCTGCCGTCGCTGTGGACAATCTGGCCACTGGAGCACGGACTACTCATGCCCGAAGCATCCAGGCAGCAAGAAAGGTGGCAAGTCTTCATCATCGGCTACGACTGGAACGACCACTACGGCTTCCAGCGGTGGTAAGAAAGGCAAGGGCAACAAACCTCGAGTGGTCTACTTCTCCGTGACTGAGTATGACGAGGACCAAGAGGAGCCCTATGACCTTGAAGCGCAGACCTATATGGCAGTCACGAACTATGGCAGTGTTCCTCCGCCTTCGAGCTTGGCTGATGGCACCATCGTGACGACTCCAAATGAGATGTCTGCTGATCAGATGCTTGACATGGCCCTCCAACAAGCACGCATGATGCAGCAGCAGCAGACCCTGGCAATTCAGCAAGAGGCACATCAGCACCCTGTGCCGGATGATGCTGATTGGGAGGCTCATGAACTCGCCCTTCAGGACCATGGTGACGCTGCCTCAGTGATGAGCGTATCATCATGGACTTTGCCTTCCATGCCTGGTCTTGCATCTCCATCCATGAGTATGCCATCGCTTGTGGGTATGACGATTCCCTCAAGTATGACAGGCCTGCCGAGTATGCCCTCACAGTCGGGCTTAGCACCACCGAGTCTGACTTCACCATCGGGCTCAGCATTTCTGGACATGCCTCCACTTCCTGGATCACAAGCTGCTCGTGTGCAAGAGATGCTTAGAGAGGACGATCCCAACAGTTTGAGTCGCTTCATGATGAAGCCGCCTCCACAGGATCCAACACTGAAGCAAAGAAGCTGTCCTCATGCAAATCGCACTCGTGCAGGATCCAATGCCTACCAGAATGTCATCAAGTGCAAGGATTGCGGCTTTGTCCTTCACCTCGAGAAGAAGACTGTTGGCAAGGCCATGGAGACCAAAGAAGCTGGCACTTGCACTCACTCCCGCAAGAACTATCAGGGCACCACTGCAACGACCTGGAAGTGGCGCTGCTTGGATTGCGGAGAGACGGCATCAGGCTCGAAGAATCCTGGTGAAAGTGGAGCAAGAGCAGCAGAGATTGCACCTCTTCGAGTTGGAGCAGTGGCAGACTGGTTCCTTGATGACCCTCCTTCCAAGGTCATCGAACTGATGCAGCTGACGCTGAGCATCCAGCGACAGACTGGAGCCGTGATCACAGGTGACACCTTGGATGTGATCTACCAGCGCTGCAAGGACACGATCTATGTCCCTCAGTCCATGCCATCTGGAGCTACGCCTGCACGGCCTATGCCATCGACACCACCTCGCACCAGCGCAGGATATGAGTTCTACACTCCAACAAGGGGTTCAGCAAGTTCGGCGCCCTCAACACCAGGTGATCCAACACTTGGACCTCGAGAAGTACTGCCTGACGATTTGGCAGCTTGGGATGCTGAGATCATGAACCATGGTCAGCAGAAGGGCAAGACATTCAGGATGATTGCTGAGACGGAACACTCCTACTGCACCTACATCCTTGGACAGATGAAGGGAAAGAACCTCAAGAATCCTCAGCTCCTGGAGTTTGGCAAGTACCTCAACACCCGGCATTCGTTGGCCATGATGGCTTTCAGTGGCACTCAATGTGAAGATCAACTGCTTTGCATTCTGGACACGGGATGCAACAACACGTGTCACGGTGCCGGCTGGATGAAGAACTATATGAAGCTCACAGGTCAGAACTATGAGCTTCTCCCTCATCAAGGACGAGTGCGAGGAGTTGGAGGAAATGTGCAAGTTGTTGGACTCAGGAAGATTCCAGTTCTCTTCGCTCTCGCGGACGGAACGATCGCTTCTGGAACCATCACATCCACAGAGCTTGGAGGAAGCGACGCACCACTTCTCCTGAGCACCAAGGCCCAGCGATCGCTTGGATTGGTGATTGACCTTGATGAGCACACCGTCTACAGCAAGAAGATGGGTCAGTATCTTGAGCTGGTTGATCGAGATGGACTTCCAGCCGTTCGCTTGATTCCCACGAATGACGTGGAGACTGACATGGCCCTCAGAGCAGAGCACACCCTGGAACTGCCGATGTCTGAGTCATCAAGCACTATGAGCTCAAATGAGACCACTGCGCACTCACCGACGAGCACTTCCTCCTTTGAGACCTCTTCATCCAATGTGACAAGCTCGCCTAACAGCACGAGCTCTGGCACTGAGGAGGCCTTTGAGACTGCGTATGACAAGCGCAAGATCGAGGAGGAAGACACTCTGAACTATGTCAACTTGGCAGAATCGCCGAGGAAGGTGATGACCCGCGGACAGCGGAAAGTGATGCAGGAGTCCATGCAGAATGTCCATCGTGAAGATCTGGCATTGTGGGGCACGCTTCGACATGAACAAGGACTTCGGAAGCCAGGAAGACTCCTCCCCTTTGGATGCAAATGCTTTCTCATGGAGTTGTTTGCTGGCGCAGCTATGGTGACTGCTTTGGCCGCTTCATGGGGCCTACCAGTTGGCAAACCCATTGACGTGAATCTGGATCCACTGCATGATCTGCTCAAGCCCGCCAACCGGGAGATGATTGGCAAGTACATTGATGACATGGACCCCTTTGTCTTGATTGCAGGTCCTAAGTGTGGTCCTTGGTCGGCATGGCAGCACATCAATGTCAGCAGAAGCTTTGAAATGGAGGAACGCATCTATGGAGAGAGACGGAGATGGTATCCTGTCTTCAAATGGCTCATCGATGTCTTCAAGTCCCGCTTGCGAAAAGGGAGACATATCATGATGGAGCGTCCATGGACGAGTGCCGCCTGGACGATCAAGTGCATGGAAGATTTTCTTCATGCGCGGCCCTATCACGAGGAGACCAATGAGCCGGTTGAAGTCATGAAGATAGACCAATGTCAGTATGGGCTCAAAGATCCTCAGAATGGTCTTCCTCATCAGAAGAGTACTGGCCTGTTGCTGTCTTCTCACTACATGAAACAGCATCTTTGCCGACGCTGTGATCACTCTCACGATCACCAACAGCTGGAAGGTCGCAGCCGTACTCGAGTTGCTGAACAATGGCCGCAGGAGCTATGTCATGCCATCGTCCTGGGAGCGTATGAAGAGTTGATGTATGGCACTTTGCATCAGGCCTTCCCCGTTGAAGAGATCTTCGAGACTCACGAAGAGATGGGTGAATTGGATGCTGTTCACTCTGAGCAGGACCTCGCCCCTCAGACCAAGAAAAGAAGAGTGGATCCTCAAGAGATCGAAAGAGAGGAGCTGATCTTGGAGCAATCAGTGCATGAGAACAGAACAGATCAGCTGGTGATGGCACAAGAAGACAAAAGGCGAAGAGGATGGTTGACTTTGCCCAAAGAGAAGCGCTTGGCTATCAGGCGGTTGCACACTATGACTGGCCACTGCTCAACTATGGCTTTGAGGAGGATGCTCATTGCTTCAGCAGCTGACAAAGACGTCGTGGACGCTGTCAAGTTCTTCCAGTGCCAGGTGTGCAAAGAGCTTCAAAAGGATGAACAACCGCGTGTGACAAAGGAGATCAGGCCGTCTTCGCAAATCCACTTCAACTACGAGCTGTCAGCGGATGTGTTTGAGATTCATGATTGCCTTCACCACCGTCACTCAGTGCTTTCGTTGGTGGATCTGGCTACACACTTCCATGTGGCAGTGAGAGTTGGAGGAGGTGGAACACCCAGTTCCAAAGTGTGCGCTGACGCTTTGAACCACTCATGGTTGTCTTGGGCAGGTGCACCAACTTTCTTTGTTGCCGATCAAGGAGTTCACAACCGAGGCAAGGTCGCTTATCTCTTGACCCTGCTTGGAACGGTGATTCGACAGACAGGAGCACGAGCACCTCACCAACTTGGAGTTGGAGAACGACATGGTGGACTTCTCAAAGGAATCATGAAGAGAGCGATCCATGAACGGCAACTTCATGGAGCGGAAGACATTTCTGCCCTGTGCTCTGAATCGGCAAGAGTCAAGAACCTCTTCATGAACCAGCATGGCTATTCGCCTTCGCAATGGGTGATGGGTTTTCAGCCCTTGGACATCACCTCGATGGCAAATCAAGATCCTGAAGGACATTTGGGACTACATCAAAGCCTTGTAGATGCAGAAGAAGGAGCTCAAGACACCTTCACAAGGCAGCTGCTGGTCCGACAGTGGGCAAAAGAAGCTTTCATCAAGATGGACACTTGCAACAAGGTCCGAAAAGCCATGTTACGAAAGAGCACTCCACTCCGTGGACCCTATCGATGTGGGGACCTCGTGAGCTTCAGCAAGAAAGGCAAGTGGTATGGTCCAGCCCGAGTTCTGGCAAATGAAGGGAAGTCTTCTTTGTGGCTTCTACATTCTGGAGTTGCAGTCCTTGTGGCAGAAACTTCTTGCCGACCGGCCACCACTGATGAAGTGCTGAAGAAGCAAGCTCTGGAGCTACGACCGGAGCGGAAGAGGAAGCGACAGATTCTCAATGATTGGGAAGATGAGGACGACCTCCCCTTTGCAGATGACTACATCGAGGACATGAACTTCGGTGGAGGAGGAGGCGGACCTCAAGAGCAAGTTCCTTTTGTGGACTTTCAAGAAGCGAGAGAAGCAAATGGCGAGACAGGAGTGGCTGCTACCCCTGGAGATGTTGAGATGGGTGCTGAGGAAACTATCGCACCGACATCCACATCGTTGCCTCAACCTCATGAACAACCTCTCCGTGAAGTTCTAGCACCTCCACCTGGGCTAGAAGACGTCAACGTCTCAGAAGAAGGTGTAGTGACACCAGTTGAATCAATGACTAGGGATTCAACAATGAGCAGCCAACCGGAATGGGAGACTCCTCCGGCACCAAGTGTCTCCGCACATCCAGCAGGACAGAACGACCAAAACATCATCAATGAGCAAGTGACTCCTCTCACCCAGTCACTTCGCCAGAGTCCTGACAGACTGGATGGAATTTTTCGTCGACGCGAGCCATCAGCCTCCGACAGTTTCATCGCTACCAAGACGGAGCGCAAGTACAAGAAGAAGACTCAAAAGAAGGTAGGAGCTGGCCGTGAGCTGAATTTCTCCAAAGAGGAGCCCGAGATGCAGAAGAAGTTGATCGCCACCAGAGAGAAGGAATGGCACAACTGGAAGTTCTACAGTGATGGACGTTTGGTGGCAGAAGATGAAGTTGCGCAGATGATGGCCAACAATCCCAACCTCAAGATCATCCCTACGAGGTGGGTGGGCGTTGACAAAAGTGAGATTGGCGAGCCAGAGAAGTTGAAGTCACGACTTGTGGTACGTGGCGACCTGGAGGACAGCTCGCTGATGAGATGTGATTCCCCGACCTGCAGTCAGACGATGATTTCACTGGTTTTGACCTTGGCAGCATGCCGCAACACCAAGCTTTGGTCAGGTGACATCTCAGCTGCATTTCTTCAAGGCAGCAAGTTGGACAGGACCCTCATTTTGAGCCTGCAAAAAGATGGAGTACCAGGTGTTGACCCCAACATGTACTACACCGCGATGCTCCAAGAGGATGGTGGAAGAACCTCGACGGCGCCTTGAGGAAGAAAGGCTTTCACCCTGTGCCTTTTGAGCCTGGAGCATACACGCTCTTGGAGGAGGAGGGCGTTTTGGCTGGTCTTGTCATCACCCACGTGGATGACCTTTTGTGGAGTGGTGGTCAGTTGATTGAGGAGCGCATGAAGGAGATCTGCGACCACTACAAGTTTGGCAAGATTGAGTGTGATTCGTTCCGCTACTGTGGCAGGAACATCACCCGAGATGCTGACAAGATCTATGTCAAGTGTGACAGTTTGATGACCGCGTTCGCCCGATCTGGCTGACTCATGAGCAGAAGCGCCAAGGAGAACAGCCAGTGACTGAAGGAGTCCGTGGGCAGCTTCGCAGCATCATCGGAAGTCTTGCATGGCTATCTCGTGTATGCCGTCCTGACTTGGCATATGCAGTGTGCAAGATGCAAATGAGTGTCAGCTCAGCCACCTATGAGGACGTCAAGTACGCCAATTCGATTGTGGCCTTGGCCCAGAAGACAAAAGAAGTTGGACTGGCTTACCCTGTCGGCGCCTTCAAGTTTGAGAATGCCATGATCCTGGCAATTCAGGATGCAAGCCATGCCGCTGACTATGAAGCCAGCTCTTCTGGTGCCCGCATGGCTCATCGAAGCCAGAGTGGACGTCTGCTGTGTTTGGCTGACAGGAGCTTCTTCGAGAACAAGATCGGCTACTTGGCCTTGATCGAGTGGCACAGCACGGTCTTGAAGCGTGTGTGCAGGAGCACCTTGCAATCAGAGGCACTCAGCCTACTGGCTGGAAGCGAGGAGGCAGAACACCTCAGGTTCGTACTACATGGAGTACGCCATCCTCGTTGTGGAGAACCACATTGGCAAGTTCAGGCCATGGATGGAACTTTGGTGGAATGGCTGACGGACTGTCGGTCACTTCACGACCACGGCAACCAAGCTGGGCTCCACATTGTGTCGGACAAGCGTTTAGCTATCGACCTTTGTGGTCTTCGCCAGATGCTGTGGCGGGTTCCTGGAGAGGCAGTGGGAGATCCTTTGGCGACGGATCGTCTGCCGGTCAATGGCAGCACTCGCCTGACTTGGACCAGCACTGACAAGATGCTGGCGGATCCTCTCACCAAGGGCATGAAACATGCCGGTTTGCGACAGCTCATGTCGGCGGAAGCTGTGGACCTAAACCCAACGGTTGGATTGAAGGCCAAGAAAACTTACGGGTGTGAAATGAATCATGATGAACCAGGTCATTCCAGTTAGCATGCAGTTGGCCTCTCATTCCAACCCGCAGGTTCCGGTTCGCAAGGGCACGACACGACGCCCTTGGCTCAAGCCATGACGGAAAAGGCGCTCGCAGCCTTTTGCACGTTTGTTTTGAGTTGGGTGCACATTCATTTTCAGAATATATATAGAGTAGTTATGTAGTTCAATAGACTCAAAGTCATGGATGTCAGCTGCTCTCTTCTGAGCTCTGTGGACTGGTTGAAGGCAGGAGTCATGGCACGTACTTTCATAGAGTGCTTGAGAGGGGAGGGAATGGCGGGGCGAACTCATCGGTGACTCCTGTGGCAGCCGATGGTCAAGCACGACGTGTTCCCTCCTCAACCACCCCAGCACAGTGACGGCTCTTCGTGTTTTCAGACCCTTTCATGGAGGCATCACGGTTGGATTGCCCACCTGCTTTCATGTAAGGATTGCGTGCTGAAGATCCATGCCACTCCGAGCAAGCTGCCATTGAATCTGAGCCGCAACACATTTCGTGACACCGGACATGAATCTGCCCATTCATCAGGGTCAGGATCTTTGGACTAAAGATTGTGATACTCTTTTGTCTTGACACCTGTGCTATTCTCCGCAGATCAAAACGTCGCAGATGGGTTCCGGGACCCATCCCGGCTGAACCGGCGATGATAGGTTTCGATGTTTCCTATCAGCCTGTCGAACCGGTGAGACACTTGCTGATAACTCCAAGGGGATTTGATCATCCAGGGGTTTTCCAGCTACAGACAGATGAACATATATATATATAGAGAGAGAGAGACAACTTGTAGTGATCTTAAGTCTCCTCCAGGCAAACTGCTAGTTTTTTAGAGGCTCTCAACTCTAACTCTTCGGCATAATGAACTTGTAAGAGAGATTCAGGGCAAAGGCCAAGCACCCCACGGAACGATTCCTATCCAGCTTCACAGAAAGCCGAGTTTTCATGTGAAGAGTTCGCCTCGCGCGTTTCTACTCGAGGCGAGTTGACAGTGATAAAGAGTGTTTGAAGTTTGGGTCTTTCAACTATATCCTGGCGTGCTGTGGTGGTGCGACTGGCTACATGCAGTTGAAGTTCAACGTGATCAGCAGCTTGGTCAAAAAAGAATTGGATGAACGCATCAGTCTTGCTACAATTTTTCAGCAGATCCTTCAGAACCACGTCTTTTTTCACAATCCTCCTCACAGCCTTGATACCAACCCTTGTCTTGTCTTCTCCCAGGGATTTCCGACCAATTCTGAGGCTATGGTGTGATGAGAAATGCTCACGATCGAAGGGCATCAATGATCTATGCCATGCAGCTTGGGTAGACAGAAGCAAAGGAACAGTGTCGAGACCGAAGGCAATTTATGTGGCCAGAGGCAGAGGGAACCCAGATTGATCTCAATGGAGTCGCAGTGCATGACATCTAAATGTTGTTGGCATTTTTATAGGATATGGTAAGGGGTGTCAGTCAGAAATATTGATTGCCACATAGTGAGATACAAGTAAAGCTTTTGTTTGAAGAAAACTTCAGTCTACATCACAACATGTATGCGGACGAACATGGTACGTCTGAGAATCAATTCGCAAAGATTTGGAATATGCAGGTTATGTAGCAGGTGATTCGCATTGACTCTTTGCATCTATAGAGATCCGACCAGGGCTCATTTTAACTCTTACATCCAACACGGCTCCCTGCAGTTACTTGATGTCCCACACACACACACAAATAAGTGCAAGCTAGTTGTGTTGGTGGATCTTTCTCTTTGATCATCTTCAATTTGCTTGCAGCAAAGGACAATGTGTGCTCATCTTCTTATTGTGTCCTCAATGAACATCGGTAACGAAGGGGGATAAGATGGGATAAGGACCTTCATACGAATGCAATGAACATGATGCCTCACATGTCTTTAAAGCCTTTCCTCGAACTTCCTCGAACAACCTTGATACCAGACTGCGGCAATGTGATGGTTCAGTTGGATAAGGCGGGCGTGCAAGCCCCTGGGAGAATTTCCAGAATGCTATGAACTCTGCTTCTGGATCCCCGTTTGGTCAATGTTAAACCAAACGAACCTGATGTCGCTTCACTCCAGAACCGTCCCTCATCACGAACCCCGTCACATTTTGCCCGGGTTGGAGGGCCTCAACCGGACCTTTGTTCCTTGCAGATCTTTTCCTGAGTTTACCGATCCATTCTGAATTCTTGCGTACAAGGATATAACAGGCCTCGGTTTCTTGGCGGTTGGTGATTGGCTTTGCAACTTTCCTGATGTTGCAGCAGAAAAAACATGATCCTCACTGTGTTTGGTTTCGTTCTGGGGCTTTGTCTTTCTCAGGCTTTGTGCTGCCTGCTATTTTAGCACCGTGGAGCACTTCAACTACCTGCCCAAATTGTTTCTTTGCAGAAACTTAGAACAGTGTTAGAACGACCATCATGGACCTTCCGCTCAGTGATTCCTCCAGAATCAACGAGGCGTAATCAAGTGGGTGTAGATTGGAAGCCCCAATTTGGTACGCCCGGAAGTACGGTTGTGTGTGTAGAAGCTATACACCTGAGGAAGGACTTGTAGGAAGGACTGAATCTCCGCTATGGAAGGACTTGCTGTTTTCTTCGTGTCCTGCTCCGAGTTTCCTGAGCGCCCTGCTCTTCTTTGCGGGCGCCGGCTTTGTTACAGACAATCTTTGGGGATCTCGAAAGTTCCTCCACGTGAGTGAATGGCTTGAAATCGCACCTTGGACGCAAAAGAGAGGCTTTGGTGGGCGCATAAGTGAGTCTTCTATAAGCCTGCGGGCAGAGAGGTTTTCTCGTGCCAGTTCAAAGACCAGACATCAGAATCTGAACTGGCAAAGATTTGGAAAAAACACATTGGCTAGGACAGATTTGGATCGAAATCAACATCACCATCACAGTTTTGGAAATGGTATATAAATGGTAGATTCTGAACATGTTCCCAGTCAACCGACGGGGCACCCGAGTGGCTTGCTTCCGACTAGTACGCATGTGTGGCATGGAGAGCATGCGTTCAAGGACAAACAATATTGTACCTTTCGGAAGCTGTTCCGGCTAGGGTGTCACCGTCACCAAAACGAATCGAAGTAGCAGGTGATCATTGTCATCGTGTTCATCATTGCTGGCCAGAGCATGATTTTTGCAGTGCTCACTGGAGTGTCACTTGTCGATGCCAATGTTGTCAGACATTGTTGTGTTAGCATGATTGCTCGACTCAACTTCCCATGTTGCTCTGCATATTGGATCGCTGTAAAAGTGTACTGAGGCTTCTGTCTGGAGTCGCATTCATAGCCAAGTTCCTTGGATCTTCAGAGGGTTGAAACCGCAAGCAGACATTGAATCTCTAAATGGCTAACGGCTACCTACATTTGGAGGACTTGAACAGAGTCAAGTGTGCAGAAAACCAAGCGAAGCTTCGGACACTCAGTGGAGCTTTGATCAAGTGCCCCAGTTCCCCAGGTATGCCCGTGTGCCGGCCATTACGGGGCGGCCTCGCAAGGGCGATGAAGTGACCACACGGGATCGGCCGGTGGGAGAGGCCCGGCAGACCCACAGCAGGCCGCGACCGGTCGCGATGGGCGCAGCGCATCGTTGAAGGTTGGCCACCAGAGCTTCATGCACATCGCTTCAGAGTGGGTTATGTGCTGGCCTTAGATGCTTGTGGCGGTTCGAGCCCTAAGAATGTGCGCACATGTCCGAAATGGCATGCTCTATCTTGACGAAAGTCCGTGACGATGTGCTTTAAATGCTCATCGTCACAGCACAAAGTGCGGATGCAGATATGTCTTAACCACAAACGGTTCGAGAAACAAAAAGGTACGTAGAACACAGAGAGGTAGACAGAGAAAAAACCAGTCGATGGCTGCCAACCATCCCTACGGCATACGGAAAGAAGCTATTAAACATAGAGTCCATGCAACACCTCCAACGTGATACAAAAGGTCTTGAAAGTGCTTGGGCCCAAACATGTAAGCACAAGCTTCATTCTGAACACTGTGCGATGACAGATCCCCTGACATTGCCTGATCCGGATCCCTAGGATCGTGAACTTGAAGGGCTATGTGTTCTTCAGCTCCTGCGTCTCAATTGTTCAACGCATTGAATCTCATTTCAACAGAGAAGATCGCCATGATGTGCCGCCCTCAGTTTTGCCGCCTAAAGGTACGGCAAGCTGTGCCTTTCTTTACCTATAAGAAGCTCAGCGGCTCAGCTTCTAAAGCGAGCAGACATCATGTAATGCTAATGCCATCATGTCATATGCAAAAGCAATGCAAGAAGCACACTTACAGCAAAGAACATAACAATTCTATTTTCATTTCTTTGCTGAGAACAACTTGGTTGAGGCAAGCTTCACAAAGCAGTCGTTTTCCCATTTCCATGTTTGTGTGACAGCATGCAACGCCTGCAACGCGTGGCTGGATTCTGACGTGGACGCCCTTTTGAGGTGCCCAGCTACCGGCGATTGAAGTTTTTGGTCTTCGATGCGAAGAGCTTGGATGGCATGGATGCTTCTGGAGCCATGAGCATGTTGAAGCTCACACGAAAGGCCAGCGAAAGGGACACCGTGTCATGTCACTCGGCCGAGAGCTCGGCCGAGAGCGTGTCCATGTCCCATGTCACCCGGGGAGCCATTTCAAGACCAGTCGGAAGAGAAGATGCTCGCCACCATCGCGTCAGGCTCAGCAGCGCGGCATCCGCGTGTGCTGGGCTGGTGTGTCTGATGAGCTGGCCGAGGAGTGGGGAGTGGGATGGTGGGGCGAGAGAAACACATTTGCTTGTGGCTCAGAAAGATGCCTTTACCTGACCCAAATGGCAGCATACATACGCTGTCATTCTGTTGAGATGAAGATTGTGTTTTGTTTGGGAAGGGAGTCAGGTGTCACATTTTTGTGTAGACAGAGCGACGTCGGGTCCGATCAGGCCGAAGGAATGTCATATCTACTTTCATCAGGCCCATCAGGCTAGAATCTGGAGATCTCCTTTGATGCATCGATTCACTGGAGAAAATCGATTCACTGGAGAAGCAGAGTCTGCGTAAATCGCAGAGCAGCATCCTTCCATGGTGCGCCATTTTCAAACGGGCCTGACAGATTTTGTCCTTCGCCCTTGGCTATTGAACAGGTACGGTTTACTCAAATCTTTGGAGCTCCTTATCGACCTCCAGTCTTACACCTCCACATGATCTATTTCAAGTGGGACTGTCCATAAGCAGTCAGGGTCGGGTTACACATTTCATGGAATCACCTCATCGTAGTGCAGTTGTCCACTTGGAGGTTTGATAGATCTTCTTCTGGCCTGTTGCACCAATGCTTACTCGATGACACTTTGGACTGACCTGTGCGCACCAACTTACAGTCCAAACTTGGCCCAGGAGATGCAGGTCCGTCAAATCATGAAGGAACAAGATCGCTTTCAAGACCTGCATTCCGCCTGTTGGCTGCGAGCACTGAATTGTTCAATACAGTGTGCAGTGTGGCAGTTTTACCAGATTGATACTATAGTGACGGACAATCACTTAGAACAAATCGGTGAAAAGTAAACAAGAAAATGGAGCTTCTAAGTGCTTGTCCGTGACTATTAAAGGTTGGCTGAAATGCTGTAGGGTCCTATCGAAACAGAAGTCAAACGGGTTCTCTATCTCTATCTCTATCTCTATCTATCTCTATCTATCTATCTATCTCTATTTATCTGTCTCTATCTATCTGTCTCTATCTATCTGTCTCTATCTATCTGTCTCTATCTATCTATCTCTATCTATCTATCTCTATCTATCTATCTATCTATCTATCTTAATACATATATATGTAGCAAAATGGCACGAATGCAGCATGCATGGTTTGGGGTAAAAGAGCTGGACCATGCAGTCTGAAAGCTGAATAAAGTGCCTACATATGAACATATATATATATATATGTATGCAGTATACAGTATATACATCGTATATAATATATACACACATGAGCGTGAATATGTTCTAAGTGTTGGGGATGCGTTCTAAGTACAGGGATTTCGATTGTTCTAAGAGCAAGGCTTAGATGCTGATTTTTTGTTCTATGTGTGGGGTCCTCGGCATGTTCTATGTGAATCCATTCTTTTTTTGTGAAAACACGATGTTCTAAGTGGTTGTCCGTCACAATAATATGAGATTATACCCAGCATACGCTTGCGGTTGTAATGAAAGCAGTGCACAAGCAGTCAAAATCAGGGCGGGCGGGCATGGGATAGCACCCGAATCGTGAGTTGAGGCCATGACCCACTTGGAGAAACGCATCTTGCAGTACAAGGCGCTTTTTTCGATGCGGGAACCGTTTGATCTTCATGTCGATCACCATTTTTTGGAGTTTGAACTCTTTCAAGACGAGTTCTTGACCGCCCTGAGCACATTGAGTGACGCCGGTTGGGGGGTGAAGGAGTCTGAAGGATCTCGGGATGGCATTTTGAGCTTTTTGATGGGGCGAGTGGTAATGCAGGTAAATTTGTGTAGCAAAGAGCCAGGCTCAGCAGCAAAGAGAATGGATGCATTTGCACCCTGCTCGGGCCTTGAGAGTATTTTGCTACGGTGTGGGCTGGTGGGGTTTTCATGTTTGACCTACAGAATCTTTTCAATTTCAGAGAATTGAACAGCTGATAGGTAAACAACAGTAGTTGCTGGAGTATTGCTGCATATTATGAGATGCCCTCTGAATTCCAGTACGCGACATAAGCTGCAGAGCTGCACCAAACTCTAGGCTTTCCGCAGAGACAAGAAGCTCATGGATCAGCGTGTCGACTTCGAGCCCTTTAGGCGGAGTCAGCGGTCGGCAAATGCTTAATCAAAGGCTTAGTCAATGGCCTTTCACGCGAGAAGGATGTATACAAAAATGCGCACCGTAATAATATGAGGTAAAATCTGCTCTTTTCAAGGTGGCTTTCTTGAACAAGTTTGGACATTGTCCCATCTTAGAATGAACTCTTCTTCCCAGCTCCTTCGCGGCATCTCCCAGGGAAGTTTTCCTGTCCGATGGCGCACGCATGGGATGCCCTTGGCGCTACTGCAGCCGTTTGAGCATCAAGAGCAGCTCGGCAGCAACAGCTGCGTTGGCAGCATTCGTATTAATTCTAATAGCTTCTTTGTTACTACTAGTAAGGCACTTGTTACTACTAGCGTGGCACTTGTTACTAGTATTCTTTTTGCTGCATTGGTCTCGAACGGATTCGTTTGGGTTGGGAAGAGGATGTCGGATGTGCATGGCGTCGAATGTTGGGTCCATGTGCCTTCGGCAGGTTTCAAAACGATGCTTTGCGTGCCTGGAGATTTGCACCGACCTCTCTATCTCATCCATACAGGGGCCATTGCCATCCTGGATGCAGTGCCAGAAGAAGGGAAGGAGCAGAAATCAACCAGTGCTTGTGCCAAGCATGAGCCACATTCATGGGAAAGCAAGCATTCTGGGAGGGATCTGCACAATGTTCACCCCCCTAGCAGACCAAGGACCAATAGCATGTTTCCTTGTGCCGTGTGCAGAGTGTGCTGTGATTTCTTTATGCCGTTGCTGTGGCGCTGATGGGCAGAAACCTCTTCCCCGTTGCTGCAGGAGTGGCAAACGCCGCGCTTCGTATTGAGGCCGGATGGGTCCCAGAGCTGGATAGGATGACGCGATGAGCCGACGGTGCCATGTGGTCAATGGAATGACGCAGGGGTTTCTGGACAGTGAATCCACGAAGATGCAGGGGTTGATTGGTACTTTGGTGAGCTCAAACATCACTGAGTTTGGGTTCGGTTCCACAACAGAGCTCCAGAGCATCTTGGCAGAACAGATAGCCCTGGTAGGGAAGGGCCACGTTCCACCATCGCCAGGCAGGGCTGGTTTGTGAATGCAAACTCCTTGGTGGGTCAGCCATCCAATGGCTATGCTGTGGCAGTGGAAGATGGGGAGGCTCGGGCCTAAGTTTCGGAGATGGACAGAGAGACTTTGACTCAATCTCCAAGCCTTGGCCTTTTTTTTGTCATGGTACATGTTTGGTATGATTGTAACATTTGTCAAGAACATATTCATTCCGGTTCATTCCCTTATCCACCGCAGAATGATCAGCACGGTAGACCTTGAGGTCCTCGAAAAGTATGAAATTGGGAACTGGGTATGTGTAAATCACTGGTCCAGGTCTTAAAGAACAAGGTGACACGACACCATTGTGTGGGAAGCGGGAAGCTGGCGATGCGTGCCTTTCAATTTATGATACCAGTGATGCATTCTCAGAAAGGGCGTGATTGGGGGATTCTCCCGCTGCGAGACAACCAAAGCCGCCCAAAAACTAAGCACAAAGGCAATGCTGAGGAGGAGCATAGCAACGAAAGGTATTGTAGGATCTGTGCGTCTCGGTTCCACAAAAGGACACTGCGATAGTGTATGCGCACTTCGCTACAATCCATATGAACAGTTCCAAAAAGAGGAGCTGTGAGAGGGACCAACAGATTGAACATCACTGTCCCAAGGAAACGAGAGCTACCCAAATGAAAACGCTTCAAAAATTCAGTCGAACATATCAACAAATTCGATTCTGGAAGCTTGTAGAAAGAATGTTAGATCTTAACACTCCCAAAAGACTTCACGAGAAGGACAAGGCGCGCAGCTGTCTCGCTTCTGTTTACCTCATCCAACCACGAACAGCCGCTACCTTCGAAGGGATTTGTGCCAGCAGTCTGCATGGTTCCGAAGAAAATGGGTACATATTATAGGGACTCGGATGACATGGCATCATGGATCGCATGCTGCAATATGGTTCCGAAAGACCCCCTGGAAGAAGGACACTAGAGCAAAACTCATTGATTGGGGTTCGGGGTCCCCCAATGAACATACACACCCATTTCATGCTTCCCTTCAAAAACTGTCGGCGGGAGAGACAACTATGGGCACTCCTTTTGATCTCTGGTGTTGGCTTCAAATTTTTTTGAACCAGAAGGCCGCCAAGGCCTTTGATCAGAGTCTTGAGGTGATCCTCCTGCTTGGTGGACGAGGATGACAATCCCATAAAGTCCGTGTATATAACCTAGGAGGTTTGCCTTTCCGGCATTCTTTCCCTGAGACTTCTGCTTTGGGTCTGTTTTTTCGGCCACACGTTTTCCACGCAGGATAGGTCTTCTCCTTCCAAGTTGACCTTTGCTCCACACCAGTGCGTTTTTGAGAGTGATGCACAAATTTAACATCTAGGATCCAAATGAATAGCGGGCAAAAACATAACGAAACAGAACAACACAAAGAACAACGGTCTTTGGTTTCTGGTTTCTAAAGGCCGACGGATGCTGTTTCGGCTGCTTCGCCCCTTTTTGCGCCGAAACAGTGCTCTCCTTGCCCATCTTTTCAGTCTGTCAGACCCAAAACGACGGGGTCCAACGAACCCAAACTGATCCAAGCCATACGTCACTCGTTCTCAGCGCACCAACTCGTTCAGACAGGTGTAACATAGGGTATTCAGACACCTGATATTCCTTGAGCACCATAATTTAGACCTGCATGTAAACAAATGCCACGTCATCAGCTGATAGACAGCCTTCAGTAGGAGAAGAGTGGTATTGTAGAATTCAAAGATTCAGTAGCTTAACAAGCTCCGATCCAAGAGCTCATACCGGCATCTAAGCGGATTAGGGATCGGGGCCCCTAGTGGAAGGCAGGCTTAGAAACAGCGGTTTAGCTGCTGCGCCCTGGTTGGGATCGGCAGGTGCTTTTTTGGACAGAAGAGCAGTCGGGGACCAAGTTTGGCCTCCGGGTCGGTGGAGGCCGTTTTGGGTTGGATCCCTTCGGTGGATCCCTCGCACTGAAGCTCTGCGCTTCCAGACTTTTGTAGGCAAGTTGAAGATCATTTCTCTTGTATTCTACATCTGTCTACCACCAACACTTTCCTTGAACTACCCTATCACCACTCTGTTCAGCATGGTGGCATAAGGTGGTGGAAGATGGCCAACGAACACCCGCTGATGATGATGGAGTTGTCGAAGGCTCCCTGGAAATGGTCATCAACCATCCCATCCTGGCCCATCCCAGCCCATCGCTGTCTAAAGTGAGGCAAAGTGCCTTTGGTGTTCATGTTCATGGAACAATATTCCCAAGTTGCTGAATTGATGTAACATTGTGTTGAAACCTGCAGGCGGTCATGCGCCAACAAGGCAGCCATCATCTCCAACGCGATCCGGATGCTGGGCATGAATGTAAAATTAATTTAAGCATTCCATGGGCCATGGGTGAGTTTTGAGTTTCCCTTGTGGCCTGCCACAATGGCAATCTGCAAAAAGGAGGTTGCACCATAGCATTTGCAAGTTTCTTGCCTTTCTTGCAAGAATCACCGAAATCCCGGTCCCTACAAACCGCATGATTTTTGATTTCCTTCGATGGAAAGCTAACCTTGATGGAAGACTGACACCGGTCACCAAAGGAGGCGAGGATCTCTGAGCAAATTGCAATTTCGCCTGATGTGGGTGAAGAAGCGAAGGCGGGGGGGCCCAGCCGCCCACGCTATTCAACAGCCTATCATGACTGCACGTGATGATGAGTGGTTTGGAGGGATATTGACAGAGGTTTTCTTCTCTTCTTGTGCCAAGCCACGATGTGTGTGGTCGTGAGTGCGCTCAACCTGCTCCAGAATGCGAGGTCACCAATCCAATCTTGCCCATCCTGGAAGAAGACTCAGAGGAAGAGGAAGCCTTTGACAGTCAGGCGAGAACGGTGTGAGCACACCAGTGTGGGTCGATATGGTCAGAACCAAGCTCCTAAATAATAAACTTCACAAGCAGTGCGTTGTTGCTCCATGATGTCAGTAATCTTGAGATTCAAGGGCAAACAACGTCGCAACTCTGAAGAAAATGCACACACTCCAGGTGCTCAGAAGGTCTTCAGCTTTTGATTCAGGTGCAAGAATACCAATCGAGAAAGACTTACCGAAAAGAATTGCCCATGTCTCTGCAACATCTGGCGGTCTCCTTGATCCCTGGCGACAAGTGCCATTGGGCCCACTTTAACTATCTTCAACTTGTTGGATTCGCTGGGATTTGGGCCCTTTGGGCTTATCGCCAACACTGAAGACAACAATGGTGACTTGGTAGAGGGTACGAGGATGTGGCAAAACTTGGAACTAAATAGAGACCTTGGAAGGCTTCCACCCTTGAGGAATACGCCCTTCCACGTTCAGAGGAATTCTCTTTGGCTTGTACTGTTTCTGTATCCTGACGCGTTTGCTGCGGTTTCAATCACGTTTTTGCCGAGTTGGAGCGACAGGATGATGAAGATGGTGTTCCCTTGGAGAATCACATGCTCACGAAGGTGGCCTCGGCCAAAGAGATCAGGCGTACCAAGGATGTCTTGTGCACGCCCATTGTCCTTGGAGAATCTTGGCGGAACTTCTTGGCAGAACTTCTTGTGAATGCCCCTGTTTTTATGTGCGCAAAAAGTAGGTCAGGCATTCTCAGCAATTATGGTTCAGGCAATTGTATTTACTTTTTCAGATTCGCCCTTTGATTTTGGCTGCTTCGCTTTGAGGATGCCTTCAACCGTGAGACCTTGACGAAGTTGCCTCAGCTTCAGACGAGGCAGATGGTGTGGGCGGGGCCTTCCCCTCCGTCGGACAACGGATCGCAACGACTGGGGATTGGAGCTGTGACTCGGAAATGACCCCGCATTCTTTCTTGACAGGGTTTTGTACTCAATGGTTGGGTTAACTAGTAACTAGGCGCCACCCTGTCTTCCGAGTCAGCCGTCCGTCTGTTCAGCGCTGGTGATAAGTGAAGCATGGAGACCCCCCAGGCCCAGGCAATGGGTTTGATTTTGCCTTTTATCAGGGCAGTCGAGCTAGGGGGCCGCCTATTTCAACAGCCCCACATAGACCTAGACTAGACCTGGTGGCAGGATCTTGGAAATGCACTTTGCACGTGCGCTTGGAGAACTTGGCTTCTTCAGGACCCCATCATCACAGGATGTGTCATGTAGCGCCATTTGCTGCACAAGAATTAAGGCCAACTAAGGCGATTTCCAAGAAACGCAATCGAGTCACATTCACAGGCTATTTCAGTATTGAGAGATACTTAAAGAGCTTTCAAAAAGGATGATTCACGAGTCACGAGCAGCAGTGAACCTGGTATTGCAAAGGATTGAAAGGGTTCGCCGAGAAATACACCTTCAGGAAGGATCCCTCGGATGAAGGTATCCTGCCTCAACTGCCGAGGAGCTGGGCTGAGCTGGGTCGGGATGATGAGGGGGGTCCCCCATCACTTCGACTGATATATATATATATATATTTAATAGATTACAATAGTATATATATAATCCATGTATGTATGTTTTTTTACTTCGTAGCGGTAGCCTCAGGCGTTCTTCCTTTTCAATGAGTGGGTGACTGAACAGCGAACTTTCCTGATGTCGTCCGCCCCAGTCACCGGAGCTTGTCTTGGCAGTGCGTTGTCATAGACAAAGCCCAATGCTGATGTGCAAAAACACAGGCGCAAACAACACCGCTTGTTTTTGCTCACGGGGTCAATAGCGATCACGCGATGGTGAGAGTTCACTGTTTGTTGTCATCGGTGTCAAAAGATAGTCTGGAATTGCGCAACAGGTTAATTGCAAACGGAGATGATGTTGGATGAGACATGGGGATGGCGGGGGGGTTGGGTTGGGGGAAGTGAATTCACGGTAATGATGATCTCGGAGCCAAGATGGGTTTTCACGGTAATTATCTGCGAGCCTACGAACTATTGATGTTTGGGTCGATGAATGGTTTTTGTCTAACGCGAATGGTTTACTCTTGTTTTGTTGAATGTGTGGCCGCATGAGCTTGTTTCATAGGAAGGATTCGCGCATGTTGATTCCATGCTCTTCGTTCGTTTGGAAATATGATGGGCCTAGGTTGACCAAAGTTGCTAGATTTTGGGGAAATGATTAGAATTGACGACGACATTCTTTCTGGAAATCAGCACCTTCGTGTTGAACTCGAGGATTCCCCGGCGCCACTAACGACCCCGTGACCTTGTCTTTGAGTGTCGCTTGCAGTTTCCTAGTTGTCGATAGTTGTCGCCCAGGTCTCAGATAGCGAGCGGATTCAGATAACACAAGTATAAAGGTTCCTACTTCTCAGAGACTGGGTGGTTGCGGCCGCTGCTGCTGCGTTGTTCCCCACCCGTAGGACTGTGGGGTTGTTAGATTTTTAGAACTTTGGACTTCAGTACGCCCGGTAGCCCAACTTAGCTTTTCCACAGCACACTGGCCAAAGTGATCCCTGAGTAGCGCAACTTAGC